AGTCTAAATTCTTTTTTGGTCGGCTGATTAGATGTTAGAATAACTCTACATTATACCTCCATGTAAGCTCTTCGCCTGACGCTACCCTAATGAGCTTAGCCAACTAACTTTCCATAATATGTTTTTGTAGCTACCTCTCCTGCAAGACTGCCTTCCATGCCATTTATATATGTATTTTCTCTTGTAACTAACAAGACATATATGTAGTTAAGTATCTCAAAACAATCAAGAACTAAGTATGATTTGATTACTCATGGTGGAACCGCCTATAAACGCCGCCGGGCTATCACTTAGGACTGGGAACCTAACTACGCACACGGACTAATGCGAAGACGTTCGCTGGAAATACGCGCGGATATTCTCCCAAAGAAGTTTACCTTGGTTATAAGTCTGAAGATTCCTTCCTCTATTTTTTCTGCAGTTTTTGGAGCCATCTATGTATATGCCAAGACAAGATGCCAGCCTGGATGAGCCTCTTAAAGTAGGAGATGCTTCAGGTTAAATACGCCACCTTTCTTTCGGTTGGATTAGAAAACGTTTTGATTAGGCCAATATCGGAACCGGGTCACACACATATTGCAAGAAACTGCAAGGCGTTTGGGTTGGCTTGGAAGAGTTCCTTTTTGAGGTGGGCTCACCGGCGAAAGAGAGGGAGGAAACATTTTTGATTACAACATGGCCCTCGAGTAAATATAGCCAGTGCTGCATGCAAATTAGAACATGTACCACCCATTATTTCTAGCCCAAGGTGTACCGAAGTGGGTCAAAGGATCGTCCCACCGAAGATACTAGACTTCCCCACATTTTGCACTACACTGAGGTGACATTTCAGAATAACGACTTATGTATATACATTACACTGCATCACCAAAAAAAGTTACGGTTTTTCCGCCAAGATTACTAAATTTATTATATTTTAAGACGTTCACCAAAATATTTCGTAAAAATATTAAGATTTAAGTGAGCTGGACCGATTTGAAAATACATCAAAAAATTAAGTTTTTTATGAATAAAAATAGTTTCTTATAGAACTTTTTGAAAAAAGTCCCCTCAGATGACAAATTAGAATAAGCTTAAAAAATCTGCATAAAAATATTTAAAAATCTTTTCAACGGAATCGTAAGAATGAGATTTTTGATGCTGTTTTTTTACTTTTTTCAAAGATTGATTTACGAAAAACTTGAATAACTGGGCCAAAAATGTTCTGATTTAGAAAGGTATTTTCACACCGTTTTTATTTCTGGCCAAAAGAAACGTTATTCGTGTCCCATCTTTTTTTCGAATATTAAAACATCTTAATTCAACTTTGAATGAGGTTCGTTTCTACCTTTCTCTTCCATCCTTTGAATAAGTTTATTAGCAAATGAATGCAAAGGGTGAAAAAATACCTTTCCAATGACACCTCTTAAGTCTAAATCGGAAGAGTTTAGGTTCAGTTATTCAAGTTTTTCTTTTACCAATCTTTGAAAAATGTTAAAAACAGCATCATCATTATGATTCCGTTAAAATTTTTTTTAATTTTTTTAAAATTATTTTTATGTAAATATTTTAAGCTTAAACCGTTTTGTCATTTGAGGGGATTTTTTCAAAAAAAATTCTTTAAGAAACTATTTTTATTCACAAAAAAGAACATTTTTGGAGGTATTTTCAAATCGGTCCAGCTCACTTAAATCTTAATATTTTTCCGATATATTTTGGTAGACGTCTTAAAATATAGTAGATTTTATAATTCCAATGGAAAAATAGTGCCGATTTTTTTTGTATTTCATGAAGTGCACGAATTTATTTGATTTAAAATTCACAACACATTCACGCATACTATTCCATTTGTAGTACTTGTCGTTTTGCATTTTAAATTTTCACTGTGCATTGAAGTGCAGTAATCTCGGAAATTTGTTTACGCTTTGACATTGGTTTAATTTAAGTGAGGTTAGTCAGACTTCTATTTTTTTCTGGATTTTCTCAGTTAAATTTTAATTTTTTTTTTTTAATTTTTATATTTTTTGTAGTTTATATTTCATATACGAAGTGACAGTAATTAACTGCTTGAGTAATATAAAATTCAATACATTTATGTATGTATGCACGTATGTATTTGGCTGCAGTCATTGAGCAGCAGGGGGTGTGCAACCACAAGTGACAACTGAGCCTATCCCTGTAAATATTCGGATTTACTTCCAAGACGGGCACGCCAATACGACTCCAAGTTATGAATAATATTAGAGTTTGAAATATGATGTGTCTCTGGGTCTTATAAAGAAATATTCTTTATAATTCTGATTATTAATCAATTTTTACTTATACGCGAACTTTGTTACTTTTGTTAAACTCTCAGAATTTATGACACCAAAAGAATTGGAAATAAGTCAGTCTGGTTGTCTGGTCTCAGAGTCATATTTATGACAAAAGAAATACTAATTTCGCACTCATTAATTCTGAGCACTCAGAAAATTCTTTAAAGGGATAGCAGAGATGATGCTTGGGTGCTAGTACAAAAATTCCTTAAATTTTTTGATTACATATAAATACATGCAAAATGGACTGATCCCTGTACAACTTTTCGCCTGAAAAAATCTTTATCTTCAAATGTGGTGAAATTTAAGAAAGAGTTTAAATTTGGTTAAATAAAAAAAATATTATGTAATATATTTTGTAAAAAAAATTGTTTTCGTGCTAATAAAACTTATATTATTGAAAATGTTCAATAGGTTAAAATAAACAAATTTTAACCAACTTCAAAAAAGGTGGAAGTTTATCAATTCATCAGAATATTAAAAAAAAAAATTTTCGATAATTTTTTTAATCGGATAGTTGGTACCCTATACTAAATTGGTTAAGATCCGATTTTTTCCTTAAAAATTACTTGGTTTTTTTAGATTTTATTAAAAAGATAGAAGTTGTAGGTAATTATAAAAAATACAATGCAACATTTTCGAGTTTTAAATAGAAAATTCCTTCAATATCTAATAATTAAGTTCAAATAACGTTAATGCTTTTCAAATTTAAAAAATTTAATACATTCCAAAATCCAAAATAAAAATGTATATTTAAAATTTTATGGAAGCACATACAGATATATGTATATATGCGTATGTATATGTATATAAGAGCATATGATACTTGAAATAAAATATTCTTTCAACATTTCAAAGAAATCGTAGAGAGTCTGGAAACAAATTTTTGAACGGCTTTTTAAATGAAAAATATTTATATTTTTAAATAAATTTTATTTTTTTTGAGCCAAAATATTAATCTAAAATTCATAAGCTTTAAACCTTTGACGACAAACGGGCACCGGTGTGCCGATAAAAGAAAATCCTGTTTTCTTTTAACCCTCTTTCTACTGCGGAAAAACTAGCATTGCATACCTTTCGGGTCTATTGAACCCCTATGTACATAAGTGATAATGTGGGTCCATCGAAAATAACCAATTGAAAGAGTTACAGAGCTCTAAAGCATCGTATATTTATATGGGAACACAATAAAATGGCATTCGGGTCCATTGGTCCCAGTCGGTAGACAAAGGGTTAATTGGGGTATTCAAAAGAGTGTGCATATTTAATTTTTACTTCCTCATCGACTTATTTCAGTTAAAAAATATTTAATGTCCTATACATATGTTTTTGAAATATTTTGAAATTTTCTTCGTGAAATAATATTATATTTCTTCAAATTCTATACAAGATTTTTAAAGCTTATTTAAAATTTTTTTGATTGCACGGATAGGAGAAATGCACGAAATATTTCTTATTTAAACCCTAATGATACCAGAGTACTTCGTCTCGAAGATGTTAAATTTATTTTGATTCGTTGAAAAAATATAAACACATAGTCTAATTGTTTACTTCGATAAAACCGATAATTTGGATTAGATTTATTTTTCATAAAATAAAACAATAAGGTTATTTAAATCAAACTTGTTAATTTAATAAATTTTGATTCGGTAACTCGGCAACCCTGGCGCTTTTTTCCGGTTTTTTATTTTCGCGGCAGAAAATTAGAGCACAAAAGTGACAGACAGAAATTAGCTAATATTTTCATTAGTGTTTTACTCGCAAATATCAGAGTTGCAACCTCCTGAAGTAGGTTTATATGAAAATTCGGTAAATTTACAAAAAACAAAATATTTTGAAATGATAATAGTTGTCTTTTTTCCTTGTATTGTTTTTAATTCTAAGCTGAAATTTGGGACGTAATTTTTCACTAAGAATATGAGGTTTCGGAAGGGTTAATGTTTTACTATTTCAAATTAGAACTTTTAAAATTTTTGCTTTCAACAAATTAAAATAAAATGAAAAACGTCTATTTAGTTTATATTTTTATGCCTAAAGAGACAAAAAATTATTTATAGTATTATTTACGATTTAGAAAAATTTTAAAATTAAAAAATAAAATAAAAAATATTTACTTAGTTCATTTTTAATCCTAAAGCGATAAAGAATTATTTGTAGTATCTACAATTTTTTACGAAAAAAAATTTTAAATTTTGTGAATATGTAATGTATGTATGAATATGTAATATGAAAATATTTCAAGAATATAATATATAAAATCGAAGGCCGTTTTCTCATGTACACTGCCGGAACAAAGTATTGGCACAGCAAATTTTTCACAATATACACTTTGTGCGAAAGTCGCGAAAATTCAGTGAATTTTCATGCCAATTTTAAACCTTTTAATCAGATTTTTTAGAATTTTTTGAGTATGAAGTTTTTCAGCTCATTAAATTCTAGTAAAAAATGCAACTTCGGAGTTAGCCAATAATCGCATTGATTTTTGTGATTTTTTTGTTGAGTATGTTTTGCATATTTTCCATATGAAGTATTTCCGAAAAAAAATTTTTATAATTTTTAAATCTTCCTTTTCAAACATATACTATAAATAAATTGTCTCATTCATGATTTTAGCCTCTAAAATCTAACACCAAAATCTGTAAAGCCCATTTGCATATTTTTGGATTCAAATATAGTATATTTAAATATTAGTTTTTTCCAACTCACCTTTTGGTTTATCCAAGTCATTATCCTGACTGGCGAAAATTTGTTCCTTCGAAGTAGACATTTTGCTGGTTGTGTGTGAATTAGTGTGTTTGCTTCTAGTTTTGTTGCTGTTAATTTTTTCAAAACAAATTGCACTTTTTCTCTTGGAATTCGTTAAGTTCTAAATATTTTGTATAGCGAATTCAGATTGACTCAAGGTTAAAGCGAACAACAAATACGAGTAGGCGAGTAAATACTTTACGGATTTCTTAGCAAATTTGCAATGAATTTTTATTGCTTATTAAGTTATTTCGAAATAATACTGACTGCGGTTGGTTATACAATTTTCTTTCGCTATTGTAAACTAAGTCTGTGTTTTTTCTTTTTAGTTAACTTTTATTGCTATTTTTTAGTTATTTCTCTTGGTTTACAATGTTTTGAGGTAGCGCGGTTTATTTTAAGTTGTTAGTTTTTTTAATTTGTTGCAATTATTGTTTTGAAATATTTTCACTTTTTTTTAGCTGCAAAATGCTTGACTACTACTATCATCGTCAGCTTGCTATAGCACTATTTTCTTTTGTCTCTTTTCTGTCACGTTTGCCTGTTGCAAAAATGTTGGTAATAAAATGCAAAAATACTTTTGGTTTCGTTGCGGTGCTAAAACAAGACACAAACAAACAAAAAAATCGCCTGAGTTATTGTGGCTTTTAGGTATACATATGTACGTTCCTCTTTTTTTTTGTGGTCCAGCAAAAGATAGAAAGTCGTTTTTTTGGCAATTTTCGATAACTCCAAAACGAGAGCTACAGTCTGCTCGCACTCCAGTTTCGACCCAAAATTTATTTATTATTTTTATTTATTTTCCCATTGACGCACACTTTTAACTCGTCTTTGATTCTTCTTCTTCTTCTTTTTTCTCTTTTTTCGCAGCTATGTAAGTTATGTTGTTTCACGCTGCGCGTCTGGCAACGTTCTGATAAATTCGCGCACTTCAACTGAGTTTTTCAAGTCAACCTTGTTGAACAAAAAATCCAATCTGCGACAATGCGACTGACTACTGAGCGTCTGCTCTTTTTAGGCACAGAATAATGAATACAATAAAAGTTGAAGCGCTCGCACACTTACTTATAGTATTTACATACATAAAAACAAAATGCATATATGTATGTACATATATATATATATGCTAATCGGTAGATAAGCCGGTAGTTCGGTAATAAGCAAGGTACGAGTATGTAGGTGGTTGAGGTGTGTGCGTCCGTATGTGCGCGACTGACTCGTCAAACTGCTAACTGCTGCTAAATGTCGGTTGAATTTTATTGCACAGTGTTAGTTGTGTGCTGCTCTGGTCAAATATCGATGCTTTGATATGAAGCTTTGTGTGAAGTTCGCTTTGCTATCGCTTTGACTGGATGGATTATCATCGAGTATACTCGAGCGCTCTGGTTATATCTATGCTGTTGATGATGCTAATTTCTGCGTTTGCCTTTCTTCCTTGCTTTGGTTGCGTGTATCTGTTGCATTAATCTGTCAAATAAATGAGTAATGTAAACTGTTTTATTATATGATTTATATGTAGGTATATGTATTTATTTGTGATGAGGAGTTGAGGTGTGCTCATGAGCAAATATTGCATATATGTAGTAATAATGTACATAGATATAAATATTAAATATTGGTAATTTCTTGTGTGTGTCCTGTTGATTTTGAGTTAAGCAATTTACTGGCGCAAGATTTTTCTCAACTTTCCTTGAATTTGGGCGCAAATCTTTCAATAAGGCTGTCGAAACAAAGAGGTTTAAGAAGGCCTACAGCCGAAAATATATTTGTGGAAGGTTGCCACCTGTCTGAAAATTTTAATTAAATTGTAAGACAAATCATATATGGAAATATTGGTACCAAAGTAAAGCGGTTTGGAAAAGTTTACTACGGAAAATATTTTTGGGAACGGTTGCCACCTGTTGGAAAAATTTTATTGAATTAAACTGATAAAATAAATGCAATTTTCCAATACCCGTAAAGAGGTTTAAGAAAGTTTACTGTCGTAAATTATTCTGAAGTGGGTTGCCACCTATATGAAAAATTTAATTCAATTAAATTGATAAGATAAGGTAAATATTGATTTCATGCACCTAGAAATGTAGACTCGAGTTGTAAGAATATAAATTAAATTTCCAGAAGAAAGTCGAAAATACCTTTGAAAATATTTTAACTAATAATTTGAGTTTTTGTTTAATCTCACTTCATAAAGCTATTTTATTTTTAATGAATGATGCCGTAAGAATTTTGGGAGAGAGTACGAACACAAAAATACTTTCAAGGCGCAGTGAAGCATGCCGGTAATTTGACAGTATTCAATTAGAACCTATCTGCAGTTTGCGCTAAAGTGAGTTGCTATACAAAAATCCACTTTGGTTTTTTTAGAAGAATTAACTAATGAATTTCAAAGGTAAACATATAAGGTTTTATTTTTTTTTCCTTTTTCGACCTGAAAGCAGAATGCAATGAGCTTTTAAACAGTTTTAAATATACATATACGATATGTATTTTTGCTGTTCTTTGGTTGCAAGAACCGAATTTTTGAAGGTAATTTCAATTTATTTTTTATCCTATTTACGCTATCCACACTGTGTGCCGTCGGGAAAATCAACAGCCAGTGGACTGCTTCTTCACTAATGTCAGCTATCTCTACGTGGAAAACACCGCAGTAATTTGGGAGCCTAAATTTAAGGTTGGTTGAAAGAACCATACAAAAAACATCTCTATCGACCTTCCATCAATCTCCGACTCATCCGTGTAAGTTTTATCTACAATATCGACAGTAGATATGTATGCTATGCAAAAAGTCAAAAGTCAGAGTGCGGGGTCCCAAGTGCTTCACTGATTCCAATGAAGGTAACTCGTTGTCGGCATCCTAGCGAACGAGATGAGTTTAGCTTTACTAAGGATTAACAGCGAGTTCACTGTTCGAAGACCACTTAGTTATAAAGATCATAAGAATTTTTCAGAAATTTACCCTTTACTGAAATTACAACGTTAAATGCATAGGCAATCATCCAGAAGTTTAAACTCGGGAGCTCCTCTAGCTGGTCGCTTACGATCATAATCCAAAGAAGTGGATAACATTGCTAACCCTGCGCTAGATGATAGCACTGCCTCATTCCATCGGTACAATTCCTGCTCCAGAAATGTTGTATATAAGTCTAATTGGCCTAAAAGATATTTAAAGCCCTCGATATCGCGAAAGGCAAGAAATTTATAACAGGCATGTTCTGAAATTCGAAACTTTGAAATCGAGTCGATTTGCCAAATATTTTTTAATTATATCTGATGAAAGGAGTGAATATTCTCACTGGAAACTGTAAAAGAAGCAGCAGTGATATGAAAAAAATCATTTTAATGCGAGACTTGTAATTTTTTAGGTTAAAAACCATCGAAGAAATTATCGAAATCGAGTCGATTTCAAATTTTCGAATTTCGGAACATGCCTGCAAAAGTCTTTGTGTCCGAAGGCTTTCTCTGACGACTTCGCTTTCAATTTAATGGTATTCTCAAGCTACCTACCCTCGTTGCATGCATGTTGCAGATCAATTAATTTGTCCATGATTTTATCAAAAAAAAAAGAAAAGAGAGTGATTGTGGCCTGTAAGCTTTTTAAACGCCACCCTGAACACTCTCTAAGCTCTGAGGATATATACTCTTGCAAAACACAACTGAGGCAGTGAACCACGATTGAGAGAATACAAAGGTTGCGCCGATCTCGGACCGCTATTCCTCTCTTAACGAATTTGACAGAATGGTGGTTTGCATGACGTCACACTTGTGCAACTTGTTTACGTTTTCCTTGCAACATTTTTTCTTCTTCTTCCATTCTTGCTCACGTTTTGGCATTTTTTCTCGCAATTGCACCAGTGTGACGTCACACAAAAGTTATTCTCAAAAATCCTCTCTGATCGGCGCAATCTTGTATTCTACCATTCTTGGCAGTGAACGATATGACACCTTCAGAACGAAAAAAAAGGCTGAGGGCTCCGTTGAGCCCTGAGGCTGATACTCTCCCTACACATAGCATAAAAGTTGAAACATTTAAAATTGCTTAATTACGCATGCTTGTTAATGAATCATCATAACATCTTCATAATAATCAACATAGACGTGCGAAATAATCACAAAATAAAAAATATCTTCACAAATTAACAAAACCCATTTTGCTTTTATTTATTAAAATTAGCACGCAAATTTATTTATTGGTATAGAAAATTAGCAGATGCTTTTTAAACATATCGTTGGTATTGATATTATATTTGCTTTGGTAAATAGATTGGCAGTAGCGCGTTAAATGTCCATGGCCGAATACAGTGATATTCATTATTCATTAAGATATACACTAGCGCATGAATTTTTGTTTTTGAGCAGCACTCATCATCTGCTCTCTGCGGGGGCTGCTTTCTAGATATAGATTAGTAGATAATTTCAGTTTTGAAGAGAAATCAAAAAATCGTAAGTCGTAGACTTTGGGACACCGCCTGTTCCCATGTTGGATATACTCACATCTTCCCTGAAACCTTCGATGAAGTGTTATACCAATGAATCCCTAATGGGTTAAATATTTCCCATGAAATATTACCCTATAAAAATACGAGCTAACTTTGCAAATCCACCGAGTATTTTATTACTAGATAGGTATATTTTCAGAAATGTTAACGAAGTCCGTGCTATCCGTCCGGCCATCGCACAGTGTTACTAATAGCTTGTATCTCTTCCGCAATAAGTGGAATTTTTTACCCTTGAAAATATGTAAATAGAAGTAATCAAATTTTATAAAATTTCCAGGGATATATGTACATATTTGTTTATCACCGAAGGAAGCTTTGAACTTTCCATATATTTACATACATACATAATTAATAATGTTTACCCTTTTAATAAGCGGTATTTTTTTTTTGCAAACGAAAGCAAATATTTTACATAAATAAATAGCTGCGCATTGCGTAGTGGAAAATCACAATATTTTTTTCTTTATGTTTGTACCTGCTTTCTTGTGTAAATAAATACTAGGCTTTGGTTAAAACATTGAAAAACAGTAAGCTAGCCAATTGTTTTTTTTTTTTTTAATGTAAGCCTTAGCACATATGTACATCTGTATGTACTGGTATATACATACATATGTATATGTATTTACAACTATCGATATTCTTTGTTTGAGCGACGAATTGTTTTCACCTTAAGGCCGGTACGCAGCTCTCAAGAAAACGGGCAAGAAAAAAAAATTGTCATTATTTCGTGTGTGTGTCCAAGGAATTTTGACATCTGATAATAGAACGGGCATATATGTACTTCTGTGGCAAGCATAGGTTGCCTTGGCTCTTTTTTTCACAAAAAACTTTAGAAGACCGTAGTAGCGTAAAGCGTAGCAAATTTCTTAAGAACTGCGTACTGCCTCAAGAAAATTATACACAACTAAATTTCTTAGCCATTTCTGGTACGTTTTTTTATATGGAGGGTTTGCTTTTCTTTAGAGCTGCATACTGGCCTTTACGGCCAACTCCCATTTTGACACTTCTGTTTCGTCTTCATGATTCTTTGTGTTGGAGTTTTTGTTTATTTGAAGGTTATTAAGCGTTCATTTGTTGTTAAAAATAGAAGGTTTTCATGTTTTTTTTTCTTTAATGGTATGTATGTAGATTGTAAGTAAATCTCACTGTTGAGTCATGTACTCACTTATTGATCACTTAATGTGTGTTTTTTCTCTCGCAAATTTCACAGTTAACTGCCATAAGAATGAGAATACATTTGGCGTACCCGCTATTGGAATAAAAGCTCAGGCGAGGTCTATGGTAAGGGCCAAACTTCTCACAAGTTGCGAGTTAAGTTAGTATTCATAAATATGAGCTGCTCAAGGCACGCCGGAAAATATGAAAATTTGAGCTTTTTGAAAACATGAGCTATTTTAGTTATTAAATCAGTGTTGTCCAGAGCGAGCTTTTATCATCTATAGAAAATTTGTGGAAAGCGTCAAATACGTGGAACCCATGCCAATGAAGGGGCATTTTCTGGACTATTACATTTAATCTTAAAATAGTGAGCTTTGATAAGCTTCTTTTAAAATGCGTTATAAGTTAACGATTTTTAAATAAAAGCGAAACCAAAAAGGGCTTTATAAAACTGTTAGTAACCCCAAAAGTTCAAAAAGCTTCTGTTGTAAATTTATACAGAAAAATTTGTATCTTCTGTGGTATCATATGAGTTCTTTTAATTACAAGGCCTTAAAATATCTTCATTTGTTAGTATTTTCCAAAGTTTTAGCTCTTTTAATAGTTTGAATTAAAGGTTGCTTAAATTACTTCAATCAAAAAATACATTTTCTAGCTTTTTTGTATTTATAGCGCTTGTTGGCTGGTCAAAATTTAATACATTATCCTTTGCAAGCTTTTATACAGATAAGAGCACTCACATAGGGTGATGCCAAAACGTTGCGCAAGTGGGAGTTTTTTTTTAGACGACAAAAGCTCTTTCAAGTCTTTCTTGGATATATTTAATCA